CACCTATGAAACTTGTGATCACTTGTGATGATACATACTTACTTTTTTATCTGTATTTCCTAATTTGACATCTACATACCTAAAAATATACAATTTACATTAATATACTGACATATATTTTAAAATAACAATTAACATGATAAAGCGTTAAAAAAGTAATGAATAGCTTTATATGTAGGAAGAAGTTCTGTGCATGCATACTAAAGATTTATGACAAAAGATATAATACCTGTTTGATATCACTTAATCTTTCTAATGCATTCATCGTCATACATACGAAACATTTCACGTCTCTCATTCAATAACCTATAATACTATATGACAAGATTAATGAATGAAAAACTATTAATACTCAATATTAATGCCAGATAACTAAGCATATTGATGCATGCAAACTTGCACGCACGCACACTCACACAAAGACGTAAGAATCACACATATATGATATACCTAAATCCTTTATTATAAAGATCGTATCAATCAAATTAAATAAGAACAGGTATAGATATATTGCAAGGTGAGCACGATCACACGACGTGTATTTATATATTACTGATAACCCATAACTCGTTTTATTATTAAATAACTTAATAAATTTCAATACGACACATTTATACTGTCGAATAATGAAGAGTATCCCGACTATACACATACAAATAAAAATTAGTCAAAAGAAAGACTTTTTTCCAAATAAAAGATAATAATTTTTATGAATGGAAATATCGAAATAAAAAATAAATAAAACAAAAGAGGTTTCATTACTCTAAAACGTGAAAGTAAGTTTTATTAATAAATTATCCTTCAATGATTTAAGCGTTGATAGTAGATTGTTGACATATTAAGACGGAGCTTCGGCCGTTGCATTCGCGCGTCGCTCGCCGGCGAAGCAAGTTGTCGGTGGCCATTTTATTTTGTGATTTAAAAAAAATGGAGTTTTTAAAAACAGTGCTGTTTTCTATCTGCTTTCATTGCGTTTTATGTGAGGTAAGTAGATGATATTGTTCTATTTTTAATATATTTATTATTTTTTACCTAAATTTATTGTTTATATTAATTAAAACTATTATTATGATTTCATTTTCTACCTTCTTTGTAATTTGTTAAGTACGTTAAATATATAATATTTATTTTATGTTTGAGGGTATTTCAAATTTCAATACAACTTATTGTTTTTATCATCTAAATTTCGAATAAAATATTTTATATACACATTTTAAGTGTCTTAAAACATTTGTTTTCAAATAATAATTTTAAGTACAAGTAACGGCAAGCGTATTTTAATTGAATACGGTTTAAATTTAACTGTCAAAAATATCAGTTCTATAAAATAACTATTGGTTCTTATAACAATTATATATTTGTCGACGTGCTTTTGTCACGTATACAAAACCTTTATCGGTTAATCTTAGAAAGGATTGAAGGAAATAATTAATAAATAGTTCCATAAAACCTCATTTGACGCATTGCAATAATTTTACATAAATTATACATACCATTTTAAAAAGTTACTACAGTATATAATGTACATCTTATGTGATAAAAAGAATATTTTAATGAAGAAAACAATATATTTACAGTGACAAAGATTAAAATTTTTGAATGAATCATTTATTAAAAAAGCATACGTGACTTACCATCACGTAGGCCCTTAAATAGGACAAAATATAACGAAGGGAAAGGAAAAGGGATATTTGATTGCCAAAAACCTGACAGAGATAGATATATAGACAGAAAGAGACAGAATACCACGCGGGATGAGATGGGGTCAATGCCCTATCCCAGATGATTTAGGATGTTGTGTAATACTGTAGGATCTTTTGTTTGTAAACAAAAATATGAGATCGTACTTATTTTTATTTTGGTAATTTTTCGTTGAATAACCTTGAACCATTTTTATATGGTATTAAGAATTTAATTTTGGTTTTCTTATGTTTATACAAATTTATATATAGTATATGAAAAAATTCTTTACATATTTATGTACATATTTACTTACATATACAGGGTGACTGGTGAATTACTATCAATATTTAAGGAGAATACTCGGTACATGATTCTCATTCGAATTATGTAAAAAAAATAGGCACTTAATTTTTGACCAAATTTCTGTATAAATAAATAAAATGTGGACACGTTCCAAGTGTTCCAAGTGTGGACGCGCGCGGCGGCGTGCTGATACAACACCACGCCGACGCACGCGCGTGTGTGTGTGTATACCTAATCTGTAGGGTGTTCACACGATGCGTAATTAATTACATAACTTTTGGTTAACTTTACTTAGAATTTTATTAATATTTATGTTATATTAATTTTTATTTTGTCATATATGATCGTCAAATATCACGTCCTCAAGTATCGATAGTAATTCACCAGTCACCCTGTACATATATAGAAGAAGAAGATATCTTCTATATATATAAAAATGGATTGCTGTTCCTTAGTCTCGCTAAAACTCGAGAACAGCTGAACGGATTTACCTTATCTTAGTCTTGAAATGTTCGTGGAGGTTCAGGGAAGGTATAAAAGCTGAAAAAAATTGATTCATTACTGGGAAAACCATAAAAACAGCCCTTTTCTATTTCCCATACAAACGTTTTTTTGACATTAGATTTGACAACTAACTAATATGTGAATCATTCTGTCGCACTTCAAAATAAGGAGATTTATGGCTTACAGGTAAACTCCAAAAATGTTACAAATAAAAAACGTAATAGATATTTCTTGATTATAGGGAGATACGAAGTTCGCCAGGTCTTCTAGTAAGAAATAAATTTTTACATAAATACTTACCTACATTAAACATATATATTTAACTACATATTTCTAATTACTTTAAAAATATATTGTTATTTCGAGATTATTATGATGTATTAAAATAAAAATATTTTTTTATATATTTAGTTGAAATAATTTTTAATAGAAAATCTATACTTTCTCATGGCTGAATAGTAATTGTCAATATCCTTTTTACAACACTTTCATTTGTCAATAAACCGAAATTGATTGATGGCTCCAATCGATGTAAAAAAAATATAACTAGTAGCATTCCCAACCTCCAAACTTCCAGTTTCAAGGTAACACTTGTAAACTATCGGTATTCTAAAAAAACTATTATTTACAAACCAAAGCTAATACATATATTATAATTATCTAATGCTATAGTCAGTGGTGGCCTAGTAGTTAAAGACGAGCCTCTCATGTACGAGGGCGCGGGTTCAATCCTGGCAAGTACCAATGTAATTTTTCCGAGTCATATGTATGTACTTTCTAAGAGTATTTAGACACCACTGACAGATGAAGGAAAACATCGTGAGGAAACATGAACTTATATCAAATTATAAGTTTGAAATCGCCAACCCGTGTTGAGCAAGCGTGGTGATTAATGCTCAAACCTTCTCCATGTGAGAAGAGGCTCAGCAGTGGGCTCTGATAGGCTGATGATGATGACACTATATTACTTAAGTAATAAAAAAAGTTTGATTATTAATTATTCTCCAATATAAAAAATAATTACTTGTATCATACCTCATGAAATTAATTACGGTTGTGTTAACAATTGTTAATTGTCATTTTCAAAGAAAAAAAATGTTGTTAGAATCATCAATTACGTAAATACGATTGTTCCTATTGTGATGAAAAAAAATGTTTTTTATACATTCATAAACGTGTTGTGTCACGTGTGGATAAAACATGATTGCAATATAAACTAGTAATTTAAATATTTAAATTAACTGTATGAGACTAAATAATATTTATTGTACTGTTACGAAAAACGTGTTCTAAATATAATAATACTAGAATCTTCTTCTTCTACCTGGCAATTTCCCAGATTTAGCCAGGGTCTGCCTTACATGTTGTGAATAATTTTGGCTAATTGTTTTTAACGACCGACCGCCTGCCTGACATCAATCCTCTTTGGGAATGCATTAATCAGTGATGTCTAAATACTCTTAGAAAGTACATATGACTCGTAAAAATCACATTGGTACTTGCCAGGTTTCGAACCCGCGCCCTCATGCACGAGAGGCGGGTCTTTAACCACTAGACCACCACAAAAACGTGTTTTTTTATTTAGTTATTAGTAAAGTTACTGATAGCAAACTATAAATATATCATATTTTTAAGAATAAATGACTTTAAAAAAAGTAAAAAAAATGTATATTCATATAAATAGTCCCAAGTTTAGACTTAAAAATCACACGTAAAAATCAGTCTAGAAAAATATATAGCTATATTGAAAGGAATCTTCATCAGTCAATAACAATTCTTATTATCAAAGTCTCATAATAATCTTTTTATTATGATTTTTGTTCTCACGTTTAATCTGTGTATACGTAATGAATGTAAATATTTTTTTCATGAATCCATAAACATAATAATATTTATAAGATGGGGTCGCCGGGAATGTTATGTATTTTTAAATTCCATTATACTTTATCAACTATATTTATAATATTATCTCATAGTAGTAGTATTGGGCAGACCCTGGCTAAAGCTGGGAAATTGCCAGGAAGAATAGTAGTAGTAGAAGAATTGTTTGAAATATATAATGATTTTTTTATATATGTTTATTATTATTGATCTATCCTTAACACTAGTTAATACGTCAGAACTACAAGTATTCAGTTTTTGTTTTCACACGTGTTTATTCATACTATCTTTGGTTTCGTAATTTAAACTATGAACTACTATTTCCTCCCGCAGCTTCGCCCGCGTGGAGTTCAGTTATATCGCGTTTCCAAGAGAACCTTTCAAAAGTCTGGGATAAAAACTATCCTATGTTCTTTCTCAAGGTCAACTCTATGTCTGTACCAAATTTCATTAAAATCAGTTTAGTGGTTTAGGCGTGAAAGCGTAACAGACAGACAGAGTTACTTTCGCATTTATAATATTAGTAGGGATATATACATATTTCGTTTGTTACAAACACGTGCTAAAGTATTAGTTTTTAAGTTATTTATAAGCATATAGGTAATTATGTATTATTTGTATTTTTTCAGGTCCAATACAAAGCGGCTTTAGTCGAAGTGAATAAGACTGATGTGGGAATTAATAAATATGAAGATATTATTCTGGAAGCTTCTAAAAACGTAAGTTGAAAACAAAAAGTATCTTACACTAAAATGTTATATATAAAATTCTCGTGTCGCGGTGTTAGATAGAGAACTCCTCCGAAACGACTGGACCGATTTTGATGGAATTTTATGAGCATATTGAGTAGGTCTGAGAATCGGCCAACATCTATTTTTCATACCCCTAAGTCATAAGGGTTGTTTGTTTATTCTTTTATAATGTAGCTTTAAAAATACATACAATCCAAAATTATTTTTTTTTTATCACCAACCCCTATTTTTTATATGGCAAAACAACATTTGCCGGGTCAGCTAGTAATTATTATTTTTATTGTTTTATAAACTGTATTGTAAATGTTTTGGAGTTTGTTTATAAAAATACAGCTTAAAATTATATAAAAATGCATATGTATAACTAAATTAATGTATTTTAACCGACTTTAAAATAGTTCTATTCTGTTTTCTTACATATTGTAACTATTTAGTATAATGTTTAATATTATTTTCTTTTCTATAGAACGTCGACATATTATTTCTAACAAGTTTACCGAAGGAGGGAATTGATACGTGTACGAGCTCAAACAATTATGATGAGGTATGAATAATATATTAAAATAATATTATATTTCTATATATAAATCAGTGTTTTTATCTAAGGCATCAATCACACTTTAATTGTATAAAATTTTGCCAATGTCTGAAGCCAGTGTTAAGACTTAATGATAATTCAAATAGAAAATATGTTATAAGAAGGATTTTATATGTATGAGGATCGATAAACAAAAGATCTGCTAGTTCTGGAATATTCTTTTCCAGGTGTTAAATTGTAAGAGTATTATTTAGCTGTTTAAATTGTAGTATATATATACAGATCAAGCATATAATAAATATTTGATGATTGAATGAATGTGAATGATTTCATCAACTTATCAATGAATGAATGAATGAACAATTGTTTAAAAAAAAACTATACATATTAGCTGGTTTCTTTTAACAAACAAAGAAAAACTTTAATAGTCATAAAGTTGGTATAAAATTTAACAATCTACCAATAAATAATCAATTTATTTCAGTATGATATAATACTATATCTTTATAATATAATAAATTATAATAAAAATTGATAATTATTTAAGAAGGATTAAGTATTAAAAAACTTATATGTCCTCGCTACCATAAACTTTGTTGATAACTCAGTTTATCTTTATTACAATATATTCAAACAATCATTTATCTGTCTATACATTAATCTATTTTTACTACATTTTGTTTCTACTTTGAGCCATTCAACCTATCCATCCATCCCAGCATTTATCCATCCATCCCTCGATTCATTTATTTATTTATCCATCCTTCTATTTATATTTATTTATACATCTACCCATCCCACCATTTATCTATCTATCCATCTTATCCATCTATTTATGTAACATTTGTATATGTTTCAGTTATCAAGCTCCCTGTCTCCCTCAGTGAGGGCAGGTGGTGTGTATGTAGTGATTGAGTCTTCTATGAACAATGAGTGTCACTATGAACAACATGCTTCATATGAATATGTGGTGATTGATAGAGATGGCGCTGTTGTTGCTGTGTGAGTAACATACATATGATATAATATAAAGTATTATTTATATTGAAAATATTAAATTTTTAGAACAAAACTATTGCAATACATTTTGTTTCAGTTTATTAACTTTATATATATGTATGAATTAATGTTATACTTGATGAATTATTACAGACATAAATAATAATAGTTAAAAAAACTTATATTTTTATATGTATAATTATTTTATTTATTTTACTCAAAGAAATTTTATAATATTGCATATTTTATATAAAATAGAATAGCTAATGAGGAAACAGTTTTTTATAATTTTATGTACTAAAACTCACAATAGTATTTCCAATATTATATCAATTCTTTAACGTAAATAAATCTTTAGTTACAGGGAACCAACTTATTTTGATACAAAAGCCAACATCACTAATACTAAGATGATCAAATTCACTACCGATTTTGATGTAACTTTTGCCATCGTCAAAGAAGAGGATATATTTTTAAATGGAATCGATTATTTCGGTGGAATTAAGAATTTCATAGTGACCAGATCTCAAGAAAATATTCCTTTATCAATAGGTGAGTTAAAATATTACATTACTAGTTTATAACTTTGTCCATGAATTAGTAAAACAAATGTTTGGTTAAAACATAGTTATATTAACCAACATTCAGCGCCATCTATGATCTGAGTTATTAAACTTTATACAAAATACATAGCTCGTTATATCGTGTTTAGGAAGTTAAAAATAGAATTAAAGAATAAATTACTTTTCCAATACCTAAATTATATCATTGAAAACTTTCACTATAATACTTGCAGTAGTTTTTCCTTGGAAGTGTAAAAAACATCTTTACATTCATTTATTTGTGATATTTTCTTGTTATGATTTTAAATCTTAATTTTTCATTCTTTTATATAGTAATTTAACATGAAAATGTACAGAGATTACTTTGAATACTTATAATAATGATATATTAGTATATAAAATTCAAAATGAATAGTTTTAACAAATCATTTTATTTATTTTTTAGCCGAACAACTCACATCCTCTTGGTCTTACATTAATGAAGCGAATGTAATTTCACCATACGGAATATTCGGTGGAAAAATTGATATAAATAATAATATAAAAGTAGCTGAATTGAAGAAATATGGAGGTAATTATTATATATATTGTCAGAAATGGCTGTACCGATTTTTACCAATTTTTATATGAGTATTCAGTAGGTCTGATAATAATCGGCTACTATCTATTTTTCATACTTCTAAGTGGTTGGTTGTTCACAATTAATTTTATTTCAATACTATGGACGAATTTTTTGTTTTTATTTTTATATAATGTGGCAACCCTAATAATTTTATATGGTAAAACAATGTTTGTCGGGCCAGCTAGTAATCTATATATAATTATGTATTATATTTACAGGTTCATCACCTTCAATAATTATATCAGAATTTAATCATGAGAATTCTAAAACAATGAATGTCGAAGCAAGTGTCAAGGGCTACACTGATGTTGTATGCGATGGAAATTTCTGCTGTAATTTTCATATTAAAACTTCTAATTATGGTGAGTATATATTCTGAAAAAATTAAATATATATACAGTCAAAACCGTTTATAACGACATTGAAGGGACCGTATATATCCGACGTTATATCCGATAGTCGTTATAAGCAATAGTCATATACACAACTACAGTAGTTATACATATTGTCATATGTAGTCACATATCTATCTAGTATACATATAGGTTATGTAAACGATTCAGAAAAGAAATAAAAATATTTATTACGAAATAATTAGAATACAAAATGTATGTACTTGGCTGCTTACAGTTACAGGTTATAAAAAACTACACTAGTTTTTAAAGTAATCAGTCATTTTAGAATTATTTTTTTAGCACAGTCTCAAATATTTTTAGCATTTTACGTTTCATACTCAAGGTATGAGTATCATCAATATCAAAGTGCTCTTTAATGGCAATTTTTTTTTGCAAAACTGTTACATCATTAAGAGCCTCGGAAATTATTGTTGGCTGAAACTGTTCTTCAAGGTCTTGTTGGTCTTCATGTTGTTCGTTAGTGTTAGGGTTGTTACTTTTAGCTTCTGCAAGAATCTCTTCCTCAGTAGCTAAGGCGCTAACGCGACACTGTTATCTATTCCAATAAATTCCTCTATCTCAATTCTTTGTTCTGAAGCAGTAGATCTTTGCAACAGGGTAAGAACAAGGAGCGGTTGGTCGTTAAAGTCGATTAATATCGATAAATTTTCGTCGTTCTAAGCGATATGTCGCTTTATCCGATGTTGTTATAAGCGGTTTGTATACTGAATAGTTTACTAGCAATTCGGACGGGACCATACAATCTGGCTGTAATAACCGATAGGTCGTTGTAAACGATGTCGTTATAAACGGTTTTGACTGTATATATATATATATGTATATATTTTTTTAATGATAGAAGATTAATATAATGTCGAACCATCTTGGAAAACCAATCCCATATGCAGGTCAAATCAAAATAAATAAAACATATTTGAATATAAATAATAAGTGAAAATGTATGGCCGTATTATAACTTTTTTTACGAAAGTTCATTTAGTTATAAATTCTCTAGTGACGTTAAAGCAATGACGTTTGGTTTGTTCACTTTTACGCGGGAAAGTATTTGTCAACGCGATTTGTGTTTTTGGAAATTGAATTCATATTTAGGATGTTTTGGTTAAAGATAATAATTATTTTGTTCCAGTTAACATTTGATTTGTTAATTAAAAGTACTGGATTTTATAAGATAATTATATTTATTGATGATTTTGTTAGAAATCACTAATATAAATATCTTCTTTTAATTACAGAGCCCGAAGCAAAATATTATCTGTCAGCATCAGAAGTTGTTGTTCAAATTAAGAAAAATATGATAAACTTACAGACTTGTGTTATTGGGTAAGTGAAAATAAGTTTTATGTACATTTAGTCCGTCCACGGAGACACGATAAATTTTGTAAACAATCTCGTTTCGAGTTATCTAACGAGGGGCTAAATTTTGTTTCTTTGTATCCATATATAAACTAAGTATTAATTGATATTATCAATGGGATACAAATTTGTAACGTCATTTTAAAATATGCATTTTAATTTTTTATAAACATAACTTTGTTATTTGAGCTAAAAAATATATATTTTTTAATATTAAAAAATTAATAAAATAATAAATAATATCAAAAAGTGTATTTCCGATACCGGGAATCGAACCCGAGCCTCCTGGGTGAGAGCCAGGTATCCTAGCCACTAGACCATATCGGATATATTCTATAGTTTGAAATTGCTTATATATTTATAAGAATAGAATCTTAACAGATTATAATGCTTAGTTTTTTTGACTTATTTTCTAAAATTATTTAAAAATTACAATGTATATGTGTTTTTAAATACACTTAAAAAAGTCAAGTTTCCTTTATCATCAAAATATTAAAACGCAGTTTATATTTTATTCAAATTTGTTATTAATATTATATTATAATTTTTTCAGATCCAAAAGCAACGAAGGTATTAAATTCGACAAGATCACAATAAAGGGAAACTTCACCGACTCAATACTATACCCAATGGCGTCGAACGAACAGACTATTAATAAAGTAAATATATATAACAAAACTATTGTAGAAATATATGATACTTATATACAATCATTTGGAGTTTTAAGTAAAAAAGATAAAATAGAAGCCAATATTGAACAAGAATATATATCATATGAAAATATACAAGAATTCTTTGATTATGTGTGGTTTAGATTCAAAGTTTTGTTATTTATTGTCTCTATATACGTATTGGAAATGATTTAAATTATTATTCACAGATCATAAACGTTATTAATACATAGATTATATATAAAACAAAATGGCGTCTGATGTTCAATATTTTAAATTTAATATTTTATATCTGTATATGTATTAAAAAAGTGAAATAAATAGATTTTATAATTATTATATAATATGCATGTAATTTGTGAATTTAATACATATATATGTTTAATTTTAAGTTACTTTGGCTGATAGAATTTAGGTGATTAATTAAAAAAAATATAATTTCAAGTGCCTTTAAATGTAAGTTATCATAATGTTATTTAGTATTCTAGTGTAGTGTATTTTGTGAAATTTTTACTTAATAAGAAACTTATCGATAAGTGAGAAACAATCGATAAGTCACATCACTAAAAACTGGAAAAAATTATGTACAGTTGACTGAACTCTGTGATATTAGTAATGTAATAAATGATTTTTTATGTGATTTTGTTTTTATTAATACATATTTTTGTATATAGACAGTATTATTCCAATTGGAACGAAATTTCTAAGGATTTTAATTACTGTGTTCTACCTCCATAAGCTAAAAAGTTTGGTACTATCTTAATTTACTCATCATCAGCCTATCAGAGCCCACTGCTGAGCATAGCCTCTTCTCACATGGAGAAGGTTTGAACATTAATCACCACGCTTGCTTAACGGGTTGGTGATTTCAAACTTATAATTTGATATAAGTCCAGGTTTCATTACGATGTTCTCCTTCATCTGTCAGTGGTGTCTAAATACTCTTAGAAAGTGCATATGACTCGTAAAAATCACATTAGTACTTGCCAGGATCGAACTTGCGCTCTCATACATGAGAGATGGGTCTTTAACCACTAAGCCACCCCTGACTTTAAATTCATGTAGTAGGGAATTTTCAACAACAAAATTTTAATACATATTAAATCTTAGCATCATACTATCAATATCCCTACTAATATTATAAATGCGAAAGTAACTCTGTCTGTCTATTTGTCTGTTACGCTTTCACGACTAAACCACTGAACTGATTTTAATGAAATTTAGTACAGATATAAAGTGGGATTGTACGTTGAGAAAGAACATAGGATAGTTTTTATCCCAGATTTTTGAAAGGTTCTCTTGGAAACGCGATATAACCGAACTCGACGCGGGCGAAACTGGGAAGAAAGCTAGTATAAGATATATAATGGAAAACTTGGAAACTGTCTGTATATAATTTTAAGATAGAACCTCATACTAATGATAGTTGATTCTCTTACATAGGTACTTAGATAATCGTAATAGATAGGAAATTAAAATAAACAATTAATTAACAATTGTCAATTTCCATATCAATATTTAGTATATAAAGATTTCAATTTATCAAATATTTTATTATAAAATTGTTTTATTCTACTGATAGTAACTCAGATGTGAATATTATAACAATCTTATCAACATACAAGATAAATTGTTTTTAAAATAATAAACTTATTGATGTATTTATTTTTATTCTGATACTGATTATGTAAAGTAAAACTTAATAATTGGCATCACAATTTTGAACAAAAATATTATGAATAAATTTCGATTAAATCTTCAACAAATACTCCATTATATATATGTAAATATAATTATTTTTAAATTATTCCAGATATAAAGTTATAATTCTTTTTGTTTTCTGTCCTACCAATAAAATCATTATATTTTAGTTGTAATGTTAATCTATATATATATATTTTAATGTCTGTTTGTCCGTCTGTGTCCTTGTATGAATTGAAGATGCTCTTCATCATCTTCCTTGAGAACTTGTTCTATCCACTCCATATAGGATTCCACCTTGAAATTATAACAAGATTTTAATATTTGCAATATTAAAAAAAATATCTGTAAATCAACATGAAAATGATCATTATATGTGTTTGTTAAACAATCTAATTATTTTAAAATTTAATTATGTAGTTCCCAATATTCACATAGTATTAATAATAAACCAGAATTTGTACATAAAATAAGAAATCTATTGAAATAAGTTATATATGATTACATGATGCAGATTAAGAAGATTTGTGAAATATAATTAAATTTAAAATTAAGAGTAATATCCATCTGTTTGAATTTTAAAAATTCCAATGAATGAAAGCAAGTAAAATAATTATTATTTTGTTATATGTGTAACATTTACGTTGATGTTTTCCAAAAGAAAGTTAACTGTCAATTTTAAATAATAAATAAATTTAATATTTGATAAAAAAATATGTCACAATATTCGTGAACATGTTAAATCTATTGATGGACATTTTAAATTCAATTATGTAGTGTTTTTTTTCCTAGATAATTTTCATCACTAAGCCAATGTATACATGCATACTTTTATCAATGATTGACTGTGTATTACTGTTTATTAATACCAACCGGAAATACCTTTATAGTCAATATGTACATATAACATATATTTTCTCCTTGATACATAATAAAATAAAATATTTTTTTTTTAAGGAAAAGGGAAATTTTAAAGCTTTGTGTTATATTGAAATTTTAAATTGTATTTTCTGTAATAATGTTATTAGTTATGTCAATGTTAGTAACTATTATGTAATGGTTTATTGAATTTATTATTATTGTTTTTTTAATTTAAATCTTGATATACCTACTACAATTATTATAAGTATTTTGCATGATGTGATAGCCTATAATTAAAAGGACATTTGAGTTATTGTTAAAAGTTGGATAATAAAATGAATGTTATAATGTTTTCTTTTGTTGGTTATTCAAATAAAATACAAGTACTATTATACCTTCGTGTAAACATCCGGTTTCCCTCTAGCGCAGGGAATACCCCACGACACGATACCAACTTGGCGGCCTTCACGTACCAAAGGACCTCCAGAGTCGCCCTGAAATAGATTATTTTATTAGTTTATTCCCGTGATTTCGTCTGAAAATATTTCTGAATTAATTTACCAATACTTTATATTAATTAACGGCGCGAGGTTCGATCCTGGCAAGTACCAATGTGATTTTTCCGAGTCATATTATGTACTTTCTAAGAGTATTTAGACATTAGTGATTAATGCATTCCCAAAGAGGGTTGATGTCAGGCAGGCGGCCGGTTGTGAAAACAATCAGCCAAAACTATTCACAACATGTAAGACAGACCCTGGCTAAAGCTGGGAAATTGCCAGGAAGAAGAAGACTTTATATTCATTATGATTACTAAACTGACAGTGCCATCTATAGTCATTAGTTTAAGTTCATACATTGTATTTTTGAATAAAATAGTACTTTTTGGTAATCTGATGTATGAGTCTTAGCCTTTATTAGTAGAAAAGAACATCAAAATTCGTTTAGCTTTTGTGTGATAGAGCTACACACATCAACATCTTTCTCATTTTCGTAAATATATTTAGTTGAAATAACTTGTATCTTTGTATTAAGATAAATGAGAATAATTAATGAGTAAATATTAATTACGACACAAAAGGTACTTGATGCGTAATTAATTTCTATGATTTATAGAAATACACTATTCAGTCATACTTATTACGTTTAACATATAAAAATAGTCTCCTAAGTAATTCGTTAAATAGGTCATTATAATCTATTTATATATACTTACATGACACGCTCCTTCTCCAGATTTTGTCATAGCACATATTTCTGTTTCGAACACAGCGTTTGTTGAGTTATGCGCCTCTTTACAGTCTTCGTAGGAAACCGCTTTTAGTTGTAATTGCATTAAATCGTTGGGAAGATGTCCGGGATACTGAATACATAAGTTTGAATAAATAACATTAATTAATATTGTAATATGTAACAGTGCATAATATTAATACAAAAACTCAATCATCGCACTCTTATAAAATTGTCATAAATTATTATAGCACTACAAGAATAATGCGCCTTTTACAAAAAAATAGCAATAACGACATCATACATTTTACATTTTTTTCTTTCAGGCGCTTCCTATCAATCATATTCCAAAGGACATTATATTAATATGATCAATGAAAATGACTTTGCTATATTTTTCTATAAGGCACCAATATAATAAAGGATATTAGAAAATAACTCACAGAAGTAGTACCCCATCCTGTTAAGAGTAATTCTTCGCCCGCGGCAACTGGTTCATCATTCAGCTCAATAGCATCTACTTTATCATTGAATTCTACTTCTTTATCAGTAAATATAATAGCTATGTCATTCACAATAATTTCTTCGTCATATTCTTTATGTTTTACGACTTTCCGGATGGTGTAAGCGGTACCTCCTGCTAGAAGTTGGTTAGTTCCTACTATGGCTTGGAAATACTGAGGTTTTAAGCTGTAAAATGTGTGAAATATTTCATATGTTTTTTATAATACAGTTTTTAATACATGAATAGATTTGAAAACGAATATTACTCTTTCTGTTAGTAGCCAATAAAATTATTGATACACAAATAGTAAGTCTAAACTATGGATAAGTTAAGACGAGATGAGACGAAACCTCTTGTCATTTAATGTATTCATATGCGTGTGAAGGGTCCATCGTTGTAGTGAGAGGAGCTTCAACAGTGACTGGGACTTGCGACCCAGGTGTAGGTTTAAGGGGCCCTATCGAACAAGTTAAACGCTCACCTCCACTGTCCAAGCTCCTCTCCCTACCTAACCAAAATACATAATTTAAATAGTTGTAAAGTTATTTTATTACCCGTCAACACAATGCGCAGCAGTCAATATTACTCTCGGAGCTATGAGGGAAGCGCCACAGAAATGACGCACCCCCCAAACACGAAGTGACACTTGGTAAGGTACGGAACCATTAGGGGCCTTCGTTCCCCCCACTATCCTCTCCCAGTCATACTTGTTGTCATCAGACGAAAATAATGACGATCGTACTGCAAATTGGTCTATATTAGTTTAAAAGGCATACTAAGAAAACTTGAAAAAGGCATATCGATTTTTATTCTACTTAAAAAAAACCTATAATAATGCAAATAATTTTTTAAACATGTTAATATATGTGGAATGAGGGAAAAATAAAAACTTTTTGTCAGAAGTGGGATTCGAACCCACGCCCACAGAAGTGGACTGCGACCTGAACGCAGCGCCTTAGACCGCTCGGCCATCCTGACTTATGACAATGTCTGAAATTGCTGTACTAAATTTAATATTAATGACGTCATCAAATTACGCACGATACATAAATAGATAATTTCTTAATCTACTTTAGGGAGTACGGGAAACATATAGGTATATAGTTTTAAAACTGAATTGAAATATATGACACAAAACAATCTTATTTAATATTGAATTTGACGTATAAAAATAATAAAAAAATGCAATAATAGTCCTTAATGATAGTTACGTAAAAAAATACAGAATTCGATATGTAGTTATTTTACATATTATTTAAATTACTTGTTTAAACATTAAGAATAAACGAAAACAATTAGTCCGAATTGTTGCTTGTATTATTCAAAATGTAAGAGAAATAAATATAATTAAAATATTCACCAATCAAAGGAAGTAATCCCACAAACAATGAACACAACACAATACTAGTCATCATGAAAAACTGTCTCTGTACATCCAAGTACTCGTTATATATAAAGTTATAAGTGAATATTAATTTACATTGAAATGTTCTAAATAACTGACGCCCCTATCATATTTATTGCTCATGCAGACAGCACGTGCTTCAAGGGAACTAATAAGTTCAATATATTTTATGGCTAAAGCCATGGTTTTAGTCTAAAATGGGCCTGTGGTCTAGACTGGGTTCAAATGTGTTTAAATAGGGTCATGGTTTTGTCTAGACTGGATTGAAATGTGTTTAACAGGGCGGTGGTTTGGTCTAGACTAGAGTGAATGTAGTTTAGTAGGACAATGGTTTGGTCTAGACTGGATTGAAATATGTTTTAGTAGGGCCATGATTTGGTCTGGACTGGGTTGAAATATTACTTAGTAGAGTCATGGTTTGGTCTAGACTGGAATAAAATGTATATTAGTAGGGTCTTGTTTTGGTCTAGACTGAATGAAACGTATTGAATACGCCTTTTTCTGTTCTACATTAGACAATAGCTCTTGTACTGACTAGCCTACAGAATGTTTTCAACCCTTTTTTAAAATACGATGTCAATGCATCTTACATATTTTTTGTTATAGATACGTGTTTAAGTTTTTCTTTGATGTATCGGTTTGTAGAAGTAATGTTATCAATTTCCCAATCATCATTCCAAGAATGATTTTCCAATGACTTCTCATATTGTCTGCAAGTCTGAAAAAAAACATACGACATTGCACTGTATGAACTAAATAAGACATATACATATATAAATTATTTTAATAGTTTAGGGAATTTTAAGTTTTCTTTCAATGGAAGAAACATTTTAACAATTTTAGTCTGTTCTCTAATTAAGGTTGATAAAAAATATTGATGGTTATATGACTAAATGAAATAATTCCTTCAAATGGGTTCATCTCCTGAAACCATAATTATAGTAGGGAATTTGGATTTTGTTTAAAGAATTCTTATTTTTGCATGTTGAAATTTTCTTTCGGTATACATATATGTTTTTAATATAGTTTTATGAAGTTGTGTCTTGTATTTCAATTTGAATCAATAATTAAACTTATCTACTGAATTTAAACTTAAAAATTAATATATTTATTAAACAATTACTATTTTTTATTCTATACGTCCTCTATTAAGGTTTACTTGTGAAACCTTGTGATTCTTCTGAGTATTTATTATCTGTACATTTCAATGTCATCAGGGCTTACAACTGACATCTGTCTGGGCCAAACTGACAATTGATGAACTGAAAAAATGACTAGGTTTTAATATTTTTCTTTACACAATACTTAATTGTCACTCTAATCATTGGAGGCTGGAAATGAAGTCGTGGTTTGAGATGAATTTTGTCAGTAATAGTAAATCGAATTTTGTTTAGGACTTCTTAATTTTTAAATGAAACTAATATTTTTCGGATGTACTACGCGATTTTTACGATAACGTGATCACGGTTGCTGTAAAGTAACTAAAACGTCGGGAGTATATACCTAGTTTATAATCAAAAATAAAAATCGTGTAGTACATCCGAAAATATTAGTTTCATTTAATACTTGCGAAAATCTTAGATCTCATTTCTTAATTTTTATTTTCTGGTTACAGAAATAAGATAATCCACTGAATATTTCAAGTATTATACTCTTTACCAATATAAACAATAAATATATTACATTATATTATGATAAATATATTACAATAATATATGGCTGACAAATTGTTAGCTTAGTTCATATAGATACATTAACACAAAATTTCATCCTATTATGTTACGTTTTTGGCTGATTTAAATATTTATTAATAAACAAACTTCCCATATATATTATTCGTTTTAGCCGGCCATTTGGTTTGCAATAATATATACCATATTTTATGAGGTGGTCTACCATCTGTAGCCTAGCTGTGGTCAAGTTACTACAGCTCGAACATGTGCTGTCTCGACCGGGAAAGTACCACCCTCTCACAGAAGATCGGCGTGAAGTAGTCTTTAATGGCTGCGTTTCATACGATGAGAGAGAGAGACGGTTGAGCTTTCCCTTTTCCCATCCTTTTCTTTTCCTCCCTTTCCCACCTTTTCCTCCCCCTTTTTCCCAATCAAGGGCGGCAACACATCCGCAAATCTAAGTTACGCATGTTCATGGGCGACGGTACTACCTCCATCAGGTAGGCCGTCTGCTCGGTTGCCCCCTTTTCCCATAAAAAAGTACCCAGTAATCAAACAAGATTTTTACACAATTTACAGATTACTACATTAGATTTTATGAACATTCCTTTAAGATCCGCTATACATATATATATGTCTGTCTGTTTGGATGTAATTCCATGAACACATTCACCCGTTAGTAATTATTTCAATTCAATTCAGTACACGTGGTATGTGTGCTATGAAATTCTATTGAACTATCTAGTTCTCTGTGGTTGAGATCTTTGTGTGGATTGTGTATGGTATTTTGGTATTTTGGTATTCTTAACCGACTTAGAAAGAGATAGTTATTATTACGACTGAATATATATCTGATGCTTTCATTAATTATTTGATTAAAATAGATATTACTTAAGCAGATTATAACTAAAGATTGGTTTACGAGGTAGGCTTGTATTTTAATTTTATCTGTAATACGTATTCTTGTACAATAATTCCCATTTTAAACTTTTGTCTTGATAACAAGCTTAAATAGTTTGAGAAAAAAATATGTCAAACTCATATTATGGCTCATGACAGCGCGGATTTTAATTACCTAAATTAAAGTCTATCAATTTCATAAATATTTTTGGGGTTTTCGGTAAAAAAAAGGGAATATAAAAAATAGTTCTTAAAATAACATAAGTATGTACATTTATTTCATGTAATTCCTACTTGATCTTTTACCGTGACCTGATTCATAGGAATTTCTTCTCTGTAGTAATATGTCTATTACCACTACAAGTTTTTCTCCCAGTTCTATTTATTCACTTAGATTTTATATATTTGAAAAATACATCTACAAACACTTCTTTTTCTGATAAGTCAAGTCAACATACAAAGAAACAACTTTAATATGCATACTTTCTTTACATTTCTTACCAAAATAAACGAGAAAAGAATTGCTAACGGTTGGGCGTATAATTCTTTGTAAATCTTACAAATAAAACCACAGAACTGATTTAAATGTAACTTTATAATAATATAGCTTTAATAAGAATAACTCATAGGTTACATTTAGTCCTAAATTAAGTAGATTTTACTTCTTAGGGCAATAACGCCGTAACAATTATATGAAGTCACGTGACACGGAATATAGATGGCGCTGTAGATCGGCTTATATGTTATTTATTAAGCATATATTAAATAGGTTCGTCGTGGATTTATATGTAGTAGAAGTGGGACGGAGAGTTAACAGCTAAATCTCTTTATAACCTACTAAAAGACTTTGACTTATCCAGAACTAATATTAATTCTTTCTTGGAACGAACTTCGAAGGCAGCCTTAGTAGGTTCTTTTAAAATTTGGATTGGTAGAGAGAGGAGCTTGGACAGTGGAGGTGAGCGTTTAACGCGTTAGATAGGGACTCCTTAAACCTACACCTGGGTCACAAGTCAGTCACTGTTGAAGCTCCTCTCACTACAACGATGGACCCGACACACGCACCGTGAATATATTGAATGATGAGAGGTTTCGTCTCTGTACATATAATTATGTCACATTTTAAACGATTTACTATCTTCAAGCGGACAAAGTTGCGTGTAAAGACTAGTATATTAATAATATTAGTTGATAGAATATATTATTTGTCCTATATTAAATACAGGTGGGTATTTTATAACCGTTATTTTATTGATCTGAACGGATGTGGGCTATTTGTTGAATGTGTCTAATTTGTAGATGCGATACGCGTACCATTCAATGCGAACTTATGAAGATGAACTTGGAGGTACGAAGAAATGGATATGATATATAAAAAAATTCTAATCATTATTTTTTTGTATTAATGTGATTATTATAAAAGGATGTTCTTCATTTTTTTTTCAATCATATTCTTAAATTGATAATAGTTAAGCTGTATTAGAATTTCTTGTAAAGTTTGAATTCAATCATTATCTACACCACGGAGTATTTTCTTATCCAAAACTTTTACATATTGGATGTCGTACTTTTGTCAATTTTTCATATAAAGTGCCACATCCATTTAGTATTTTTATTCATAACTGAATGTAACGTATAGTTATTGTGGCGCCAGTAAACAATTTGTTTTGCGGTATTATCGAATATTACTTAATCATTTCGCTTACACTTATACCCCGGGTTTGTCTGTATATTATTTAAATATATCATAAAAGAAAATGTTTTTTATATTAACTTATTGATTTCATATTAGACAAATATTCTAGATTTCTTATAAAGCCTAGCATCATCAGCCTATCAGCGCCCACTGCTGAGCATAGCCTCTTCTTACATGGAGAAGGTTTAAGCATTAATCACCACGCTTGCTCAAGACGGGTTGGTGATTTCAAACTTATAATTTGATAAGTCCAGGTTTCCTCACGATGTTTTCCTTCATCTGTCAGTGATGTCTTAATACTCTTGTAAAGTACATATGACTCTGAAAAATCGCATTGGTACTTGCCAAGTATCGATAGCTAGTTGCATCTATTGGCTTTGATTTTAAGTATTCTACTGTTCAGTAGTTTTATCGTAATATATGTATAAACATACATACAACCATACTGACATTTTTATATATATTAAATATCTACTAACAATGAATCCATGTCAGTAGTCGAATAAGTAGCATAACATCCGCTACATGTAGGCATTTTAATACTTACTTTAGTTCTAGATACAAGAAGTAGTGAATGATGACGTCATTGTATAATTGTATTAAGAACTATATTATTCTTGAAGCGAAAGTATAGTGAAAATAAAAAAAAAATGATGATTAAACTTGAGCCTTGTTTACGAAAATTAACTTTTCGTTCTTTAATTTTTTTTTATTGAATATAATTTAAAAAAGTGACGGATTAAAGACAGCGTATATAAAAATTAAAATGTAAGTTACTTGGCAAAATATTCCAAGTGCGAATGAAGCCATAGATAAAAAAATATATACAGTCTAAATGACATCATTAATATTTGTAGTGTTTCAAAAATAAAAGCAAACTCATAATAATACAAAGACATGATCTCATTTAAAATAATGAACATGTTTTGTAAATAACAATCTCGAACAAATTAACATCGGGATTCATGGAAACAAGTGAGATTTTACACACAGGGAGATACTCAATAACATGAAAAACTAATAAATATGGAATAATAAAATTAAACTATAAAGTCACTGGCATAATTTAAAATTATTTTTAAGAAAAAAAATTTTTTTTTTAGTCTGTACCATTTTGACATTTGACGTCATTTTGACAGTTATCTGACATTTAGACGTCTACAAGATCTTGATTGTTTAATACGTCACAAAATAAAAGAGTGAGAGAGAGGGAGAGTGTGTGTGAGAGAGAAAGAGATAGTTAAGCATTAATCTTCTATCTTCTATCTTCTATATATATAAAAATGGATTGCTGTTCCTTAGTCTCGCTAAAACTCGAGAACAGCTGAACGGATTTATCTTATCTTAGTCTTGAAATGTTCGTGGAGGTTCAGGAAAGGTTTAAAAGGTGAAAAAAATTGATTCATTACTGGGAAAACCATAAAAACAGCCCTTTTCTATTTCCCAAACAAACGTTTTCTTTGACATTAGATTTGACAACTAACTAATATGTCAATCATTCTGTTCGATAGAAACAGGAGAAACCTGATTATTAATGGCCTCTAAGACGGAATAGAGTTCGCCTGGTTAGCTATACATAAATTACTAATGACGAAAACTAGTAATTAATAAGTTAAAAAATCATTCTATTTGCATGTAGTGATTTCACTTATCGATAATCTACGTATCGATAAATCTGTTAGCCTAACATTACTGAAACCCAATTATTAGCATATATAGATAAAATAGAAAGTAATGTATATAATAATGGCAATATATCTAACAATGTATACGGTTTACACAATCGTGGGTCTGTTTATCAGTGCTAGTGCCGATATATCTTGTAGATGTTGTGTCAACGTTTGGGTCAGATGAAAGATAACAATATATATAAAATAAATACTAAATATGTCTGTTTGTATGCAATAAATAAATCTCGCAATAAATTACAGAGAACAGATAATAAAACGAAAGAAAATCACAAAAAAATAATGGCGGCGTCATAGTGAAAAGTATCCTTATTTAATTCTAATATTATAAATGCGAAAGTAACTCTGTCTGTCTGTTTGTTACGCTTTCACGCCTAAACCACTGAACTGATTTTAATGAAATTTGGTACAGATATAGAGTTGACCTTGAGAAAGAACATAGGATAGTTTTTATCTCAGACTTTTGATAGGTTGCGGGCGGAAAGCTAGTATTTAATATATTCAAATTAGAAATTATCTTTTAAATATTATGTTTTAACTTTTCTTGTTAACAATATTATCACTCAAAAATAAGTGAAATTGAGTTAAGTGTCACTCAAAAGATGACCGAGATTTTTCATTAACATGTTAATATTCAGAAAACGCCTGTCAAGAAAGATAAGTCACGCTGCAAAACCTTTTATCTTTGAAATAAAAAGATAAAAGAAACCGAAAGTTAAACTTATTAAAGAATTCATTTCTCATTAAACGTATTAATGTACAACTTTTGTTTCATTTAATTTTCAAGTAAATTCTTTAACAATATTTTTATGTATTTTATTTCTTTTTATATAATAATTTGCATTTTTTCCAAAGAGGGTTGATGTCAGGCAGGCGGCCGGTATAAAAACAATTAGCCAAAACTATTCACAACATGTAAGGCAGACCCTGGCTAAAGCTTGTAAATTGCCAGGTAGAATTTGTATATTATAATGAAAACTGCGTGTAAATATTAGTATGTAGCCTTAAATTTATATTCCATTTGTAGTATGTTTAACGTTCTATCGCCTCTTACAGTCTCTAAAGTTGCCAAACGTATTGTTAGCTGACTATATCTCGTGGACCAATTTATTGTGACCCGACTATATCTATTAGATATTTAATACGAATTCTAACTACGTCCTGTATTCATTACCTATATATTTAAAATTCTCGTGTCGCGGTGTTAGACAGAGAACTCCTCCGAAAAGGCTGGACCGATTTTGATGAAATTTTGTAAGCATTGAGTAGGTCTGAGAATCGGCTAACATCTTTTTTTCATACTCCTAAGTCATAAGGGTCTTTCACCCTTTTTTTTTCGGACGAAATTTTTTCTTTTTATTTTTTTATAATGTAGCATTAAAAAATACATACTAACCAAAAATATTACTTTTTATCACCAACCCCTATTTTTTATATGCTGTAAAACTTTTGCCGGATCAGATAATATCTTTAAAAACCGTCTTATTTTCATAAAAATATTATAACATTATACTAAAATACATTTTTATTCACTAATTAATTATACTATTCCATACAAAGTCATTTATTCAGGTTCATTATGAATTTTACTTTTATTTTACGAAATATGTAAGGTATTCAATGTCTAAACAAACGCCCAGTGTGTTTAAGCCTAACATACCTAGTTGACAAACAAGAAATAATATGCATAATTCGTACAAGGCGTTTTTCAGTATATCTGTACACAAATGTTGTACTTAGTGCTGTTTCTGTGCGGTAAGATAATTACTAGCGCTAATTACTTAGTTTATTTTAGTATATTTGAAAACGTTGTTGGCGTATTAAGATTATGGAAAGGAAATTATAATGTTATTATTTTTTAAATTATTTGTAACATTTTATGTGTATTAGCTTTCCCGCGTGGAGTTCGGTTATATCGCGTTTCCAAGAGAAACTTTCAAAAGTCTTTGATAAAAACTATCCCATGTTCTTTTTTAAGGTCAACTCTATGTCTGTACCAAATTTCATTAAAATCAGTTCAGTGGTTTAGGCGTGAAAGCGTAACAGACAGACAGACAGAGTTACTTTCGCATTTATAATATTAGTAGGGATCTGTTTGAATCAATTAGTTTAAAACATGAATAATTTCTTTGAATATATTAAAAATTAATATCAAATAGATTTGTTGACAATCTGTTTAAGATACTTTAGAATATAGGTTAAATATTATGCACAAGTAAAGTGAATAACTAAATTGCAAAATAAATTCCCAATTCATAATCAATTAATGAAATTTAAGACTTTCGCGAGTATTAATTTAAATAAAACTAATATTTTCCGATTTACTACGCATTTTTTATTATGTTATCTACATATTTTCAACGTTTCGGTTACTTTTCATCAACCGTGATCATTAAGACGAGATAAAAATTTCTGTCTTTGTCATATATTTAGTAGTCGCTAATAAAAACGAATAGTAATATTTAAAATATTAGTTTAATTCAGAATAATTTTTCGTTTGATTGTAGAGAAATTGTAATAATCTTTAGTAATTTTTTTCTATAGTGTCAGGCATTAAGTGCCAATTCTTCGATTGTCATGATGAGCCAACTTATGACCCAGACGAAGGTCCTTTAGTAGATCTTCAGTTCACGTGGCTAGGAGCTATGCAGTACATACACGGTAAGGCATCAGAATGAGAGGTTCCATTATATATACTTCAATCATACTAAAAATCTATATATAACTGTTATATCTACATATTATATACCTATAACTGTAATTTATTAACTTAATAAGACAACTTCAATATTTGTTGTACGTGCGTACGATGACTATTTTGAAGCGAGGCTGTTGAAGAGTTATATATATATATATATATATATATATATATGAACATATTATATAAAGATTACTACATCTATATATAAAAGAAAGTCGTGTTAGTTACACTTATTATAACTCAAGAACGGCTGTACGGCTTTGGATGAAGATTGGTGGAGAAATAGCTTGGAACTAAAAAAAAGGACATATATGCTTTCATCCAATCGAAAAAAAAAAAAATAAGTTGATCAAATCTAAAATCTTCTTATTTACTGCCTTTAGAGTAGGAATAGAGATGTCCCGGTCAGCTATACATTTCTAATTATGATACTGTAGACGAAATCGAGCACAGAAACTAGTTAAGTATAAAATCATATTTTTCATTGTTTACGTACATATATTTTAACCAATAGACCCGATGGACCCGGCACCCGCACGGTGAATTCATTGGATGCTAAGTGGTCTCGTCTCTATATATGCAAGATTAATATAAAGAGAAATACAATACTGAGAATAAGAATATTATCATATACTCGTATACATTTGTGGCGAAAACTTCTTAGCATTCCATTGCATTACAAGGAGAGGAGCTTCAACAGTGCCTGTGACTTGTGACCCAGGTGTAGGTTTAAAAGACCCTAACTAACGCGTTAAACGCTCACCTCCACTGTCCAAGCTCTTCTCCTATTATTTCCTCGTATATAATATACCGTATTATTCATATTAATTCTTATGTTAATTATTTTTTCAGTGAAGAACGGCACCCCTCATTACTTCAGAGTTCCTCGCGTTGTCATGATAAGCCGTCAGTTTGTGCTGTCAAACGCCGTCGATGCTGCACATGTGCCAGATGGTTACGCATTGTAAATATTGCTTTAAACTCTATTTTATTCTTAACTTTTAAAATAAAGTTATATCCACATAATTAACTAGGTATTAATCTGTTGAAAGGACTACCAAACAATTCATTTTAACATTCATGAGAAGTTTAAGAAAAATAATTATTAAGTAGAATTATAATCATACTATTTTCGTCAATATTTATTTTTGGGACCAACTTACACACTAAATAACACTTTTAGAACAATATTTAGGTTCTTCTATTAAATAGAACTTAACTAATGTTTATACATAAAAAAGAATTAATTAGATAGAACATTACATATGAAATTTCTCTGATAATATTTAAATGAAACTAATATTTTTCGGATATATTACGCGTGCTTATTATTTTAAACTACATACTCCCGACGTTTCTATTACTTTTTATCAACCGTGATCACGAAGACGAGACATCTCGTATATTTACAACTAGCTTTTGCCGCTTCTTCGTCCGCGTGGAATAGTTACTTCCGACAGATTTTTGGTTCTTCCCACATACATAGTTCCCGTTCTTGCGGGGTTTTCGGAATGGTCGAGTTCCCGTAGAATTTTCAGGATGAAACCTATGTTTTTTTTATTAATAATGAGGTACTCTTAACCCACAACATATTTATTTGTTTATATGAATAAAGATTAATATTATTATTTTGATACAACTTAAACAAATTATTTCGACAAAATTAGGTGCCATAAAAACGGTTTTTGTGAGTTAATCTTAAAAGATAGACATATACTGTCGCAGACTGTTTTTTAGATCATTAAAAGTATTCTTTAGTACATATTTTTTGTGTATCTGGAACCGTTTTCACGGCGCACGCAACGGAAGGCTTCAAAGGTGAAATAATTTCTCCCGTTTTTTACACATTTATCACTATATCTTTGCTCCTATTGGTCGTAGCGTGATGTTATATAGCCCACAGCCTTCCTCGATAACTGGACTATCCAACACAAAAAGAATTATTCAATTCGAAACAGTAGTTTTGGAGATTAGCGCTTTCAAACAAACAAACAAACAAACGAACTCTTCAGCTTTATAATATTAGTATAAATAATAAAACACGCATAGTAATCCGAAAATAATTAGTTTCATTTAAATGAATACTCGCGAAAGTCTTAGATCTCATTAATAGTCTATTATTTTTCAGAGGGAACGTAGTTTTTGGTGATTATGAGCGTGATGAAGCTGAATGTAAGCTGTCTATTGAGGATCTAGCTTCTGGCTTGGTCTGTGAGCCAGCAGTGCTTCTCATGCCAATAGCTGATGTGCTGCTACACCCAGAATACAAGCACTTCGGTGTGAAGAGCAGCATAGCGCTGTTGAAGTTGATCACACCGATAAAGTCCAGTAAGTTAGATAAATATCTTTATATATATAATTCTTCTGTGAGTGTGTATGTCACTGAACTTCTCTCAAACGACTTGACCGATTTTGATGAAATTTTTTGTGTGTGTTCAAGGGGATCTGTGAATGGTTCAAAATTTCGTCCGCTGGACAATGTTTTTTTAATTAATTTTTAATTTATTAGTAGTTGTTGATACAAACTTTTTTTTGACATTAGATATCAATCATTATATCAATCATTCTGTCGCACTTTAAAACACGGAGATTTATGGCTTTAATAGGTAAACTCCAAAAATATAAATAAAAAAACGTAACAGATATTTCTTGATTATATGTAGTTCGATACGAAGTTCGCCGGGTCTTCTAGTATATATATATAAAAGAAAGTCGTGTTAGTTACAGTATTTATAACTCAATGGCTGTAGGGATATGGTTGAAAATTAGTGGAGAGGTAGATTAGAACTATACTAAAGCCAAAATTAATGAGGATTAAGTCGCAGATAAAAACTGGTAGAATATATTTTCTACTTTTGTTTAAGTTGTAATTTTAAAAATAAAAAATGGGATTCAGAAGCTTTTATATGAAAATATAAAACTTTTTAAAAATAATAAATTAATCTGATGATTATAATATTGAAAGTAATGCTCTTATTTTATAATTTATAAATTTCGCTGGATTTTTTTCCCAACAAATTCTTGAATACTTACTAACAGTAAGTCGTAAGAGTATAATCAAACAACGTGACTTCTTTCATTAGCGGTACAATTCTCAGAGATACAATCTTACAAAACATACTAATTCTTTAGAGTAATTTACAATGTTATTTAATGTATATATATGTATACGTATTCGATATTAAATTATCGTATTGACGTAGCTGATACAGATAAATTTTGTTCTGCTAGTATTCGTTTGATGTAAGCAATGAAAAATCAGAAAATAAATTTTGGGAGTAGATGATTGAGGACGAATTAGAACAAAGAAAAAAGTAAAAATATCTGTTAATTTGAAATCACGAGTTTATTATTCCAGTACTTTTTTTTGGATTCCTTCAAAAGAATTTTTTATGCAAATTAAACTATTATTTTTTGGATTACTTGTATATTTTATTGATTATAAACTACATACTCCCGACGTTTCGGTTACTTTTCCTCAACCGTGATCACGGACAGACGAGATGTGAGTGTCTGTCAGTTGGTCTTGTTATTTTATCACCTACCGCCAACTATTACTTAAATTTCTGACGTATCTTACTGTATGCAGAATTATTGATTTAAAGAATATTTCTTAAGTAATTCTGTTTTTGTAGTAAGTCTTTGTTTTTAGAATACATGGTCCCAGTATGTCTGCCGTTCAAAAACTTCGTTGTTGGAAAAAATGGGAAGCAGACGGCTGAAAGATTGTATCATATAGACTTTGTTAGTGGTGAGTACGTAATGAAAGAAATTGAGAATGACAACTATGTATATGTATGTATTGATTAATTTGTGCCTACATATTAAGATGTTATAAATCCACTCTGTACCGTATAGAATATTGATTCGTTTCTAAATGCAATATAAAGAATAGAATAATAGAATATTGATTCGTTTCAAAGTGCAAGTCAATATTGACAGTGATTTTCGGTTTTATAACTACCATCATAATATATAAGAATTAAGGACAAATTTTTGAAAATAAAATCGTTTTAATTTAAGGAGTTAATCGATTGTTCATCTCAAATGAAAGGCTATATATATATATATAAATATACAATGATGATATATATATATATATATATATATATATATATATATATATATATATATATATAGTCGTCATCATTCCTTCTTTTTCATATTCTTGTAGACTAAATACTGGAAAAAAGAAATCATGTAATTAAAATATGTATACATGTTACCACATATTACTGTTTCTGTCATGTTATTGTGTATTTGATCAGACGCGAGTAGAATCTTTTCGATTTTGAATTTATAAGAATACATAAACTGTGCTTCGTTATATTTTTGATACAATTCAAGTATGTATATATAGAGCACAAATTGATCTTTATGTGTATTGGTTGTTTTTTCAGATGTTCCTAGAGATTTCTTGGACGAAGAGAAAGAAATATCAAGAGTGAGTCTACTGCCAAGAGAACTCTGTTTTTTATATGACAGTCCTACACTGACAGTAAGTTAAAAAATACATACATCTTGCTAAGATCAGTGCGATTCTAACTAATTAGAAATATAGATTTATTTTATTAATTTGACGTAGAAGGAAGTATGACTTCTCAATAATTCATATTGCAAATGTCCATGGGCGATTGTGATTACCTTCCACCAAGTAGACCGTCTGCCCATATATAACTTTGGGTCATAAAGAAAATTATGTCCAAAAATCTGTTTCAGAATGTGTCCAGTGTAGGCAAAGACCGTATAGCTTGCACGACGGGTTGCGGCTTCTATTCCGGGTCACCAATGATGGTTCATGAGCATACTGGCCATTGGTCTATTGTGTCTTTATCTCAAGGTCAGTTAAATATTCAGCGGTTGGTAAAATCAACACAAACCTCTACACCAAAACCTATTCGACTGTGGTCTGATACTTTCTGTTATTTCATGGTTTATTATATGTAGAATCCCTTTTTACCAGAAATTATGTTCCAGAAAATCAATAAGACTACAAAAGTGATTAATTATGTAATTCTTTCCTAAAGGCTAAAACGTACAAATTATTTAAAACAACCTGACTGTAAGAGATTAATTGAAATATGAACGTGTGGCATGAAATTTTATTATCCTTATTTAGTCCTATGATTTGGAGCATATTATATAAATGTCAATTGGCTACAATGACCATCAGTTCATTTGAACCTTAAGCCAAATTGTCAAAACGGCTATAACTTTCCGAGCAAATAAAAGCTAAATTGTTAAATCGACTATAGCATTCCAGGTATTGCAGGATAGACTGAATAGTATATATATGTTTACTATTGGACGGTCTTATATTATTACAATATGTCGGTGTTTAATAAATCAGTCACCATCTTGCTTCCGAGTTTGATTGACGTTCCACTGGCGACGAGTCGGTTACGTACCACGCGTTTATTGAAAAAGTTATTAAATTAGTGTTTCAATAATGCCTATTGGAAAATTAGAACCATTCGATGTGAATTCTAAACAGTGGCCGGCGTATATTAGAAGAGTAAAACAATACATTGTGCTAAATGAGATTAAAGAGGAGCTGCATGTACCCTTATTAATAACGGTTGTAGGAGAGGCTACCTATGCATTGATGTGCGATCTATGTTCGCCGGCACTTCCCGAAACGAAAAAATTCGATCAATTAGTAAAATTGTTATCCAATCACCTAGAACCACAACGCTCAGAAATAGCCGAACGCCACGTGTTTCGGTTACGTAGACAACGCACCGGCGAGCCTCTCATGGATTATCTTCACAACCTTAAACACCTGGCAACAACATGTAATTTTGGAAGTATGCTGGAAGAAAATCTACGAGATCAATTTGTGTCTGGATTGGTTAATGAAGTGATGCGGTCTAGAATATTCGCGGAGAGAAATATCAAATTCAAGGAGGCGGTGGAGTTGGCTCTGGCGCTGGAGGCTGCAGAGAAGCACGCGGAGGTGAGCGGGGCGACATCGGTCCCGACTACGGCCTCGTGTGCAGGCGGCGAGGGCGCAGAAGCCCTGCATCAGGCGAGCGACCGGCGCGGCCCGGCGCGGCGGCCTTCGGCTATGGCCGGCGGAGGCGCGCGCCCCCGCGGCCGGTGGGATGCGGACGAGGGGCGCTGTTGGAGGTGTGGGAGGCCTCATGGTGCCAACAAGTGTCGGTATGCGCAGTATAGTTGCGACAGGTGTAAAAAAAAAGGACATTTGAAAGTAATGTGTAATGAGGAAGTGCGGAATCGTGCATTTGGGCGTAATAGTTACAATAATTATGTTGTAGACGCTAGTGCCTCCGAGGACGAGGACTTCTTCAATATCGAGTTGGCGGCTAAAGGTAATGGACCCTATTTTATCAAAGTGATAATCGACAGTCAGGTGTTACAATGTGAAATAGACACGGGAAGTCGATCACGGGAAGCCATTAGTGATCAACTTTTTAATAAATTATTCCCGAATAAAAAGATTAATACAGATAATCTCATTCTACGTTGTTACTCCGGGACTCAAATTAAGTCACTTGGTTATATTAATGTAAATGTTACTCTTAACGGAATTAAGGCTGAAAATCTAGCTTTATACGTCATAGAAAATGGGTCGCGTCCTTTAGTGGGCCGTGATTGGATGCGCGCTTTAAATATAAAAAAAATAACGTTAAATGAAATTGTAGAAGATAATTTTGTAGACTGTTTAATTAGCGAATTTCCTGAAGTGTTTACAGATAAGTTAGGTACGTGTAAGAAAACAATTCAATTGCATGTCACGGATAAGGAACCGGTTTATGTAAGGGCGCGCCCCGTTCCGCTCGCGCTGCGCGGCCGCGTCGAGAGCGAGCTCGAGCGCCTCGAGCGCGAGGGTTATACCTACCGCGTGGACCACTCGGAGTACGGAACTCCGATCGTCCCCGTGGTGAAGGAATGCGGCGAAATACGTATTTGCGGGGACTACAAAATTACGATAAACCCGAAATTAAAACGTGATTATTACCCTTTGCCTCGTATAGAGGAATTGTTTGCAGCATTGAGTGGTGGTGAGGAGTTTTCAAAAATTGACTTGAAACACTCGTACCAACAACTCTTGTTATCAGAGGAGTCACAACCCTATACCGCGATCACTACTCACATCGGCACCTTCGTATATCGTCGCACACCTTTCGGGTTATCATGTATACCGGAGAAATTTCAAAAAATTATGGAAGAAACGCTCCGAGGGGTCCCTGGTACGGTGGTCTACTTAGATGACATATGTGTGACAGGTTGTAATAGACAGTCACATATGAGTAATTTACGAGCTGTGCTGGAACGGTTGCGGTCTATGGGTTTCACGATAAAATTAAACAAATGTAGTTTCTTGAAATCTAACGTTAAATATTTAGGCTTTATTATAGATAGATTAGGCTTGCACCCCGATATTAAGAAAATATCAGCTATATGCGATGCGCCACGACCTGAAAATGTTACTCAGTTAAAAAGTTTTTTAGGAATGTTAAACTATTATGGTAAATTCATTCAAAATCTTAGTGTAATTTTACATCCCTTACATAGTTTACTAAAAAAAAAATGTAGAATGGAATTGGAACACGGATTGCGAAGCGGCTTTTTCTAAAGCTAAGAGTGTATTGACGGGGGATAAGGTGCTGGCACACTATGAAGAGGGCCGGCCGTTGGTGTTGTCGGTGGACAGCAGCGCGTACGGGCTGGGCGCCGTGCTCGCGCACCGCTACCCGGACGGCAGCGAGCGCCCCGTCAGCTGTGTGTCGCGCACGCTTAATAGTGCAGAAATTAATTATAGCCAACTTGATAAAGAAGCGTTAGCTATCTTTTTTGGGGTTGTTAAACATCATCAATATCTTTTCGGTAGACGATTTGTACTGCGAACGGATCATCAACCGTTAAGTTACATTTTTAGTTCAAAATACGGTATCCCTCAAACGGCTGCAAGTCGCTTACAGCGCTGGGCGGCGCGGTTATCTACTTACGAATTTTCGGTTGAATTTGTGCGTTCGTGCGAGAACAGTCCGGCCGATGCGTTATCTCGCTTACCCCTGCCGTGCGAACACCGATCATTATCGCCTGCGCCATTGAGTTATATCAATGTAATAGACGATAACTTACCCATTAATTTTAAAGATATTAGTCGCGAAACGAAGAAAGATCCATTATTAAGTAAGATCGTTGGTTATGTGTTGTTTGGATGGCCGTCTTATACGAAATGCGAGGAAGAAAAAGCTTATTTTAGTAGGAAAAACGAGATTGTTTTAGAATTAGGTTGTTTAATTTATAAATATAGAATCATAGTGCCGCCACAGTTACGTAAAACGATCTTGAAAGAAATCCACGAAGGTCATCTTGGTATAAATAAAATGAAAAATTTATCAAGAAGTTAAATCTATTGGCATATCAAGAAGTTATAGTTATATCTATAACCGCAGAATTAAAAAAAATTGTTAAAAGTAATTTTAAGAACTCTTTGTTTGTTTATTTAGTTTAAGTTTATATGTAATACATATATAATAAGATACACATACATACATTTGTACCGAGAACCTAGATTTAGTTTCTTTTATACTGTTAAATACTGTTTTAAGTGTTTAAAGTAATTTAAAAAGGGGGAAAATGGACGGTCTTATATTATTACAATATGTCGGTGTTTAATAAATCAGTCACCATCTTGCTTCCGAGTTTGATTGACGTTCCAACTATGTATATATATAATTTCGTATAAGTATGTATTTCTCTCATATATGTACACCTGAAACGTTTAATTACTGATTACTATATCCTACGTAGCATGGTTGTCTGGCAGAGATCTCTTAGCGATAAGGCAGCCAATTGTACATTGATCAAGTTTTGCAATTACTGTATGATTTATTCTTTGGTGTACAATAAAGAATACTTACTTACTGAATATTAAACTATGTTTTCCAGGTGGTTCTCCTTGTCCGGATCCTCTCCGTACTCGCCGCCCGCCATCTCCTCCTCGACACACTCTTCTATATCCATACGTACCTTGGATCACAGCAGCCATTACCGGACGAGCTGTTGGCGCTTTCGCTAAAGATGATCCATTTGGTAAGAATTTACATAATGAGATCTAAGATTTTCGGATTTTACTTCGCGTTTTATTTCGACGAGACATCTCGTCTTAATGATCACGGTTGCTGGAAAGTAACCGAAACGTCCTGAGTATGTAGTTTCTAATCAAAAATTAAACGCCAAGTAAAATCCGAAAATATTAGTTTCATTTAAAAGAATTTACATATTGTTGCTTAAATGATCTTGTTCCTGTTTTGGTCGTATAGATTATGTTTCATATCAGTGCTTACATTATGAGATCACTGAAAATCAGTGTAGAAGCAACATTGCTTCTATTTTTCCACTGAGTGGTTCTCCTTTTTTTAAATTACACTGCTGCACACTTATTATTATTGTTAATGATTTTTAACTTAATATTTGTCCTGTTGTAGTTGTAGTTGTTATGTTATTTTATGTTCCTTTTTTGGTATACATGGGATAAGTGTTACTCTGTTTTTATTTTGTTGTTTGTTTTGTAGTGATGTAATCTTTTAATCAATAAAAGTTTATTATTAATATTATTCTATCGTCTGTTGATCACGGTTGCTGCAAAGTAACCGAAACGTCGGCAGTATTTTTTGTTATGGTAAAGGGGGCAACTGAGCAGAATGCCTTCCTGATAGCGATAGTATCGTCGCCCATAGACATAGGCAACATTTCTTATGTCGCGGATGTGTGACCCTTGATTAGGAAAGAGGGGGAGGAAAAAGTAGGAAGGGTAGGGAAAAAGGAAGAGGTAGGAAAAGATGGGAACAAGGAAAGGGCAGTTATAGCATTATAATTAATAAAACACGCGTAGTAATCTGTAAGTATTAGTTTCATTGATGTTTCGAATATACAAATCTGTGATTTTTTCTCAACTCCACTGTAAATTATCTTTAGCAGACACTGCCTTGGTTTGTCTACCCTCAAAACTTCCTTTTAGTAATACAAGTCAATACTTTATATTTCCCAGGTTATATTATGCCACGTGCTTCACTCTACGACGTGATTGGTCACGGCTGGGTCGGTCACTGGTGGATGGGGGGGCTTCGATGCTATGACCGAGGAGACTCAGCTACAGACATCTTCAGATTTTATCACGAAGTGTTCCAAGTCAAACCAACCACACAGACTTATCTTACTTATTACTTAGAAGTGAGTTCATTAGTGCTTAGAATATAGAATTATCGTGTGTATTGGAATATATGGTGATAGTTATATAAATTTACTTTCAGATAGACAGTGCACACGATACTATGGTGATTTGCGTCAAAGTTGGCATGCCTTATCAATTTGGACATCCAAAAGTATGGCAACTGGACACTCCTGAAGTTAAAGTAAGATTTTCAATTAATATATCAGATTGTGTAGAAAGAATGTCATCAATTTTTTTTATAGGCTGCTTCATACGGTTTATTGCTTTATGACTCGTTGTACTGAAGCTTCTTTTTTTATTTTTATTTTTGCGTAGTTAGGAACATTTGCTTATGCATAGTTACTTACCAGTGGAATCACCTATTTTAATACTTATTTTTGTAAGGACAAGGCACTCCAAACATATTGATTATAGTAAAAATACCATTTTATTGTAATGTATTTTTTTTCACTCCTTCAAATTCTTTCAAAATGATTACTATACAAAGATATAGGTATTTTGATTCCTTTCAGACTTTTGATTTATATATATTTATTTAACATACAACAATATCCATCAAATGCCAACGTCATAAGGGTTTTTCTTTGCTTTTCAAACTTTGGATGCTTATGTAAGGCGGCTAGACTTTAGATCCTAGCTTTTAGTAGATTTTTACAGGACCTAAACTAGGTATAAATAGTCCAAGTAGAAGTAATTTTTGGTGATGAATGCAGTAATTTTTCGGTTATAAGCGATCAGACGTATGTGAATTTTCTCTTACCATATATAATATTACAAGCTTTCCGCCCGCAGCTTCGCCCGCGTGGAGTTCAGTTATTTCGCGTTTCCAAGATAACTTTTCAAAAGTCTGGGATAAAAAACTATTCTATATTCTTTCTCAAGGTCAACTCTATGTCTGTACCAAATTTCATTAAAATCAGTTCAGTGGTTTAGGCGTGAAAGCGTAACAGACAGACAGACAGAGTTGCTTTCGCATTTATAATATTAGTAGTAGGGCATTATTGTCTTGTTCGATGTTTTTAGGTCCAAGTGCCCCTAGTAACGTTCTCAAGTTTGTACAAATTCCAAGTTGAAGCCTGGTCTTACAACGCGACTGAGTCTATAACCACTTCCTCGACTTCTTCCTCAAGCGGGGAGTAAGGAGGAAATTGGAGGAAACTGGAGGAGGATTCAGAAGGAAGGACTTGATCAAGAATTCAAGTCAAGAACTCATTATATTATTTTGAAGTATGATAAAATGCAAGTTATTAAAAGATATTTCAAAAAAACATTCTGTTTTATTTTTCTTAAATTAAGTTCTATTACTTTTACTGTTTTTCTATTTTGAAGTCGATGTAGAAAAATAGCATTTACATGTACTTCATACTCCATCGTAATTCTAAGCTCGAATTGTTCCAATTAAACTTTGAGTATTTTTTTGCTATAATCAGCGGTATTTGTTTTTTTTTTTTTTGATAAATATACAATAAATACTGATTATTTTATTGTTTTCTTATATTAATTTAAATAAAATTCTCATATTATTATCTAATAAATCTTGTTGTGAATAGTTTTGGTTAATTGTTTTTACGACCAGCCGCCTGCCTGACGTCAACCCTCTTTGGGAATGCATTAATCAGTGATGTCTAAATACTCTTAGAAAGTACATATGACTCGGAAAAATCATATTAGTACTTGCCAGGATCGAACCCGCGTCTTCGAGTATGAGAGGTGGGCCTTTTAACCACTAGGTCACCACAGAATTTAAATAACATTCTCATTTTATTATTTAATAAAGTCGAATATTAAATTCTCATACGGTCAGAATGAAAACGAGTTTAAAGTTATCATGTTACAATATCTGTAAGATAAATTATTGTCTAGATTAAAACGACTGGGCGTGTCATCTAAAGAGCATTGCTAAGCAGGTACCGTCAGCAGAAACAAAACAATATATTTGTATTAAAAATATATTTCGTAATTCATTTGTTTTTGTATGTAGTACACAGCGAAGGTCTGGAAATTAATGTATAGGACTGAAATGAGAGCTCTTGCAGGTGAAAAAGGAAAGACATAATTATATCTCATTATTGATTGGTTTTATTTATTACGCTTGCGTTTATAGTAGTATTGCATAGGTATGTTCTATATATATGTATTTATATGGAGAGAGAGAGAGAAAGAAAGAGTGTGAAAGAGATAGAACATCCAATTTGATTCATACATACGTATAGTTTCCCGTTCCTCATTCAATAACTTACGTTAATACTACGAGTATAATGTAAAGATTTATGAATGAAATACTGTTAACGCTACATATGTAGTGACGATGGAAACTTGTGGTACTCATATAAAATTTTCGCTGTATACATAGATAAATTTTATTAAATTTAAATACTTGTAAGATACAATAGAAATAATGGTTTTCTATAGAAATTATTTATACCAAAGAAAAATTGCATTTTAAAATATTAAAAATAATATATTATATTGTAATTATTCTGTTTTGCAAACAGTTATTATTTGATTTCTAATTTATGTGAGCCCTCTGTAGTCTCGCAGTAAATACATATTGTAACAAGTAACATTGGATTGAGATGTAACTTGTTTTGAGAGGCGGAAAGATAGCTATTATGAATGTACATGTACAGTCGAGAACATAATATACAGGGTGACTGGTGAATTACTATCGATACTTGAGGACGTGATATTTGACGATCATATATGACAAAATAAATATTAATATAACATAAATATTAATAAACATCTAAGTAAAGTTAACCAAAAGTTATGTAATTAATTACGCATCGTGTGAACACCCTACAGATTAGGTATACACACACACACACACGCGTGCGGCGGCGTGTTGTTGTATCAGCACGCCGCCGCACGCGTTCACACTTGGAACACTTGGAACGTGTCCACACTTTATTTATTTATGCGGAAATATGGTAAAAAATTAAGTACCTATTTTTTTACATAATTCGAATGAGAATCATGTACCGAGTATTCTCCTTAAATATTGATAGTAATTCACCAGTCACCCTGTATACATATATAAAAATAATAATTTTAAATATATTTAATTTAATCGTATTATATGTACTAGCTTTGTTTTATATCACACTGAAATCTGATGATGTAATATAAAATTGTTATTACTTTTCCACTTCATTGTACTTGTAAGGAAATGCAAGGATCTCGAGATATCTTGAATTGCATCAAACAGTCCCGCAAATACCATCAGAAATAGATTTTAATGCAGGCCATAATATCTTTTATTTTAATGCTTCAAGAGCAAAAATTGCATGAACAAATAAAACGCTGTCCCGCATTGTTAATGCGTCGTACAGTCATCCTTTGTGACATATTTACAATATTATATCACAGAATAGTGTAACTTAGTGCATTGAGATAAAGGTTATAATTCCATGTCAGTTATATTGTAACTGGTGCAATGAATCGATCACTGCGGTTGTTTAAAACTAAATAATGAAGTGTTATAAATTTTATACGCAAATGGTTGGAGCTACCTGTGAATAATTGCGTCTTCTGTATCCATTAAAAATGTGATTTATTTTATAATATTTATTATTAAGTTTGTTATTATTTTATTATAAAGTTAGGTATAAACATGTCGGTCTTAATAAGTGTTTATTGAAAGGATATACAATTGCTATTTACTTAGCATAAAATTGATGAGACAGACTTTAATGATTGTGAAAACGATTCCATAATACCTACTAAATTAGTAAAATTTGGTTGTTTTTTAGGTAAATTTTAGTCATGTGGTGTCTAACATTCTTGTCGGGAACCAAATATCTACCCTGATCATTAGGCGTGTCTTGAAGTATGTGATAATGCATTTTTTCCAACGTTAAATCAAATCATTTAAATGAAACTAATATTTTTGGGACGTACTACGCGTGTTATATTTTTGTAAACTACATACTCCCGACGTTTCAGTTACTTTTCAGTAATCACGCGTAGTATATCCGAAAAATATTAGTTTCATTTAAATGAATAAAACTCGCGAAAGTATTAGATCACAAAGAGAGTTTATGATTCATATATGAAGAGAATTTAAATATATGTAATTTCATATTTTCTTAACCTTTGTTACTAATTTAGTCGCAGGGTTACCGAAAAAAAAGGTTTAATGAACCAAAAATACCAAACCGAAACCACTCATAAGGGTAATTTTACGCGACCACTTAGCACTTAATACTGTATTATCAAAAATAACAAGAGTTAACAGTTATATAAACAGTTAACAAAGCTAATTATACGTAACTTGATATGTTATTTTTAACTTTAACTTGAAGCGGTAACTTAAATATCATATGTCAAGTGTAACAAGACCAAGGTAAGTTTTTTGAGTGTCACAAAATCTCTTTGTGTTTTACCGTCTCAAGTTAAAAAAAATCAACGCTTGATTTATTAAAACTGATTTAAAATAGTTTTGGAGAAACAGACTTTATTAAATGATGTTAGCTGAATGAACTGTGCATATTATCCCTACTAATATTATAAATGCGAAAGTAACTATGTCTGTCTGTCTGTTACGCTTTCACGCCTAAACCACTGAACTGATTTTAATGAAATTTGGTACGGACATAGAGTTGACCTTGAGAAAGAACATAGGATAGTTTTTATCCCAGACTTTTGAAAGGTTCTCTTGGAAACGCGATATAACCGAACACCACGCGGGCGAAGCTGCGAGCGGAAAGCTAGTAGATAATAAAAGACAGATTGAATATTATTTTAATGTTTAATCTTTAGATTATATGAGTAAGCTATAAATAAAAAACAAATCACCTATGTCAATATGAATACGTATAAAAACAATACTATGTACAATATAATGTTATGTTCATGTTTTAAACTAAGTATTTTAATACTTGTTAATGTTTTAAACTAAATATTTTAATACTAATATACTATAATAATTTCCTATAATGAGATCCAATAAAATTTAATTCTTTCGCGAGCATTCATTGAAAACTAATATTTTAGTATAACTAACCTTTTTTTTATTATTTTAAACCGAAATATCCCAACGTTTGAAAAAAAAATTAATCTTGTCTTAATGATCACGGTTGCAAAGTAACCGAAACGTCGGGAATATGTAGTTTAAATTAATAAAAAACGCGTAATAATACTAAAATATTAGGTTTATTTATACGTTTTTTCTGTATTTAGTGAGTATGATATAAAATCATTAATTAATATATCAAAAATGTTATCCAAACAAAAGGTCATTGACCTCTGATGTTGTTTTACATCAATACATTTCAGTCATAAATTATTCATATATTTATATCGAAACCGATTATTTCTTTTCATTTTGTTATGATAACAAAATCGATGTAATATTTTAAGTATAATAGGACGTTCCTTTTTAACAAGTAAATGTTGAATATTCAAAATAAAATAAAGTTATTTGTAATGAAAGATTTATTTATTTTCGAAATCTTGAAAAATGTTTTGCATTTGAGGTCAGCACGTGTTCAAAGTAACAAGATCTTCATTAATGTAAATAAATTAATTGTCATTTTTGACGTTTGAAAAACAAAGCATTTTTAGTCTGTTCCGAATGTAGATTATATTATGTTAAATAAACATTAAAATATAAATTATTTTATATGTTGTTTTCTTATAGTTCAATCATTATTTATATATTGATCTTCTTCGTGGCAATTTCCCAGCTATAGCCAGGGTCTGCCTTAAATATTGTGAATAGTTTTGGCTAATTATTTTTAAGGCCGCCTGCCTGACATCAACCCTCTTTGGGAATCCTTATTTATATATTGATATTTATAATATACTAGCTGTCCGCCCGCATATTCGCCCGCGTGGAGTTCGGTTATATCGCGTTTCCAAGAGAACCTTTCAAAAGTCTGGAATAAAAACTATCCTATGTTCTTTCTCAAGGTCAATTCCATCTCTGTACCAAATTTCATTAAAATCAGTTCATTAGTTTAGGCGTCAAAGCGTAACAAACAGACAGACAGAGTTACTTTCGCATTTATAATATTAGTAGGGCTTGATTAACTAAATAATTTTTTACGCATTTTATCTTCATTGTATGTTCTAGAATGTTCATTTCAATATACAATAATACAAAACGGGAACATTCAAAGCAAATATTTGTATCAAAAGTAATACGCGCGGATTAAAAATGGACGAAGAGGGTTCGCGCCAGGTGAAGTACTATAGGGAATATTATGTTGTATTAAAGTATTTGTAGGATTACTCGCAGAGCTTATAGAAAAATATTATATATATATAGTAATAAAATATTCAAATATATTAT